AGAGAGGCCAGGAGTCACAACACCGTAACCTCCACCCTCAGAGCGCGATGCCCGGGCGCCGGAGGGGCTCGCTGCTTGGCGGCAGTTTTCCGCCAACTGGACGTTTGGGTCCAGAATGCGAGTCCCCTGTGTCCCTCCACTCTGACCCCTGTCCCTGTCCGCCCTGTCACCCAGGAGGCTGCCAGCTGGGGATCTCGGCCAAGGGAGAGCGCTTGAAACACTGGTACGAGTGCCTGAAGAACAAGGACAAGAAGATCGAGCGCTGGCACCAGCTCCAGAACGAGAACCACGTGCCCAGCGATTAGGATGGCGCCTGGCTCCCTGGCTCCGTGCCCTGCCCCCTGCCCAGGTCCCCCCCAGCCGGCCCCAGCGGCCCACTGCACTCTGGTCTCTCTCCTGTACGCCCCTGCCCCTCCCCTGCCGCCCTCCCTGAACCTGCTTTTGGGGTCCCCCTCACCTTGGGCATTGCCACCAAAGACCTCCTCCTCCCCCTGCGATGCTGCTGCAAGGCTGCGAGGCGGGCTCTAAGCACAGCCCGGCTCCGGTCCCGCCAGGATGGAGCAGTCGGGACAGGGATAAGAGATCTTTACAAAGAGGTTGTTCCTTTAACAACCTCCCGGTTTGGGTAATTACAGGCGTTCGTCATCATTTCGGACTGTTTAGCCCTCCTGGCCTTGAGCAGGCGGGCACGTCCACTCCCGTTTCCTGCGTCGCGTCTGTGTGTCCCCTCAGCGGTCAGCACCGGACAAGGCTGTGGGGACCCTGAAGTGGGGTAGACATAGAGCGTCCAGGCTCCCAGCTTTCTGTCCCTCTCCACCCCCGTCTCTTTCCCCTTCTCCCCTCTCCCTCTCTAAGGGGTTCAATAGCAAAAGCAAAAAAATATCCTAACACAGTGTCTCCCCCTCACCTCCTCTCACCTGCCAGACCAGCCATCGGGCAAAACCTGAGCTTCCACGTAGCCTCTTGCTTCCTCGGATGCCCACTTCCCCTTGGGCACCGCCAGGCGGCCTCGGGCGGAGGGCCGGCTACTGGCCCTGCCCAGGTGCAGGCAGCAGCCCACAGGCTGGGGA